GGGTTAGGGTTTAGGGTTTAGGGTTTAGTGTTTAGATTTAGGGTTTAGGGTTTAGCTTTAGTGTTTAGGGTTTAAATTTAGGGTTTAAGTTTAGGTTTAGGGTTTAGTAATGCTCACTTGGATGAAGTAATAAACGATAATTGAGGAAAGAAAATGGGGATGATAAAACGGAAACGAAAGAAAGAACTGTTATGGAAAATGGTATATTTACTAAGTGAAACCAAACCGGGTATATTTAGCATGTTAAAACGACATATTTTAGAGGTTTAGTACCTAAGCTTACGTGGGGCTGTAATATATATTCCCTATCCCCATATAATATATATATATATATATATATATATATATATATATATATATATATATATATATATATATATATATATATATATAGGGTGAGGTTAATAGAGAACCATAATTAACAAGGAACCAATGAACCAATCGTAGGCGTCGGAAATCATAATGATCTATGGCCAAGGAAATAGATGTACACTTTTATATTGGATGCATACACACCAAATTTTATAAAAAAATACATCTTTTTACCAAAAAACTCACATCTATTTTTCGTTTAAAATTTTTTAGGCCACAGTTTTTATAAAAAAAAAACAAAAACCCCGAATACACCGTTTTTCTTGATTTTTCGTCGTCTTTCCATAGAGATCTATGTTGATATATAAAAAACGTATTTTTTTTTTCAAACTGTGAATCTGAGAATGTTCACAATGTGAATCTGAATAGATTTACAATATGAATATGAACAGGTTCACAATGTGAATCTAAACTGAAATAACGTTTTTTTTTCTTTTTTTACATGAATATGAATCTATGTTTAAAAAATCCAAAAAACATGAATTTTGATATATATATATATATATATATATATATATATATATATATATATATATATATATATATATATATATATATATATATATATATATATATATATATATATATATTAGGGTAAATTACTCGAATGGTCCCTATGGTTTAGGGTAGTTTGTGCATTTGGTCCCTAATTTATATTTTTAACTCGGAAGGTCCCTATTGTTTGTTTTTGTTACGCGCTTGGTCCCTATCATACATAAAAAGACTATTTTACCTTTGATTTTTTAATCTATTTAAATATACACACTCCCAATCCCACCCCTTTCACTTTATCTTACCTGCCCCATCATTTTTTTGTATTTAAATAATAGTCATTTTGGGTAAGACAAGGGCCAAGCGTGTAACAAAAACAAACATTAGGGACCAAGCGCGTAACAAAAACAAACAGTAGGGACCTTCCGAGTTAAAAAAATAAGTTAGGGACCAAACACGCAAATTACCCCAAACCATAGGGACCATTCGTGTAATTTACTCTATATATTAATTGTTTTCTATAAAAAAAATAGACATTAACTTTTCAACAAAGGAAATGAATTGAGTTTTTTTTTTTTTTAAAAAAAGTTCGTTTTTTTAGATATAATCATGGATTTCTTTGGAAGGATGACGCAAAATTGTGAACAATAGTATACTCGGGTTTTTTTTTCGATAAAAAACATGGCGTAAAAGAAATTTTAAACGAAAAAAAGAAGTGAGTTTTGTTATAATCCGGTGCATGTGCATCAATTGTAAAAGCCTACAACCCTTCTTTTTACCGTTGATCACTTTAAATTTCGACGCTTTGTACTGGTTCCTTAGTTCCTTTGTTAATAATGGTTTTCTATTCAACTTTCATATATATATATATATATATATATATATATATATATATATATATATATATATATATATATATATATATATATATATATATATATATATATATATATATTAGCGATGATGGGTTACTTGATCCACCTAAATTTTCTTATTTACAATATTATATATATATATATATATATATATATATATATATATATATATATATATATAATTTTTTTTGGAACTACATTTAATATTTAAAACCACCCATTTTGACATTTTGTCCTTAATATGTTTAGCAATAATATATAAAGCTAGATATCTAAAGCCTGTATTTTATTTCAATAGCTGAATAAAACATATAAATAAATAAAAGTTAAGAAAAAACAACAATTGACATTTATTTGCAACTAGAGGGGAATTACCTGCGCCGTTGGCGCTGTGGTTTTTTTTTTTTTCCTTATTTCAAGTTGCACCAAATCATAGAACATACTATAATGTGTTTATAAACGGAACATTTTTTGAACTTTTCTTGGGTCTCACTACAGCTGACAAAAGATTATTGTCCCAATTACAATCTTTGTAATGGATGTATCAGACTGGATTGGAATCATTGTTTGGGTTTGGAATCGGGGCTTGGGTTGAATTTAGAATGGTGTTCAAGCTCCTTTGTGCCACACGATTTTGATCAAATTTGATCATTGATAGATCAGTTTCCCAACTTCAACTTCTTCTCATTCGTTTCCTATAACCATTCCAACTAATTTGTTAGATTGCTTTCAAATATGCTTCACATTTATAAAAATCTTATTTACAATTTCTTGAAAAGAATACCTAGAAAGTAGTCAAATAAACACCTTGTCTTTTGTTTACAGCTTTCAATAGGACCTGTACTTGCAAAAATCTCTTAAAGAAGTTGTTCAGTCACACGTGTATGTGCATTTTTCTCAAAATATAGACACTGGAAGTTTACATGAGGGGTGGGCTTAAGTGGGATTTTTAAAAGGGGCTTTCATGATGCTTAAACATCGTAGTCAAAATACAAAGCATATGACCTGCAAAAAGATAAAAAAACAGAAATAGCAAAAAATATTAATGAATCTCAAACCACAATAAAAGGACTATTAGCTCATCCAAAGGACTATGATGAAAAGGCAGAATAACAAAATTTTAAACACAAGTGGTACTCGTCTTTGATTAAAAAGAAGATGAAAGTAAGACAAAAGAATAATTGAACATTAATAAAAATTGATGAAAAAATAAAAATTGAGATGCCTTTTTAACTTGAATAAAAAGAAAACATATTGTTTCTAACTGTTTATGCTTTGGAAAAAAAAAAGTCACATTACCAAGCATTTCTTTGTAACTGTTCATGTAAAATATGAAATTTGAAAACTTTTATCATGACTCATAAAGCAGAGAGTAATTTCATAGGGTTTACTTGGTTCCGCTAGACGTCCCTTCGGGGACATCCGATACTTGCTTCCGCTAGACTACTACCAATAAGTGACTGCTAACCTTACGAAAGAGATAAGCATTTGCTGAGTCCAATGACACCAATTAATAAAGTAATAATTCATAGTGCTTTTTTATTTACCAAATAATCAAGAAGGCTTCATGTGGGACAAACGGTGTTGTTTTTGTTATACATGTGTGTACATAAAGTCAGATAAAAACAAAATTTTCTTTGTAATTGGATCATATTGCTATAATATAATAGATTTTGCAAAGTAATATCCACAACTGTTGAATTTCACCAAAGTAACACCTGGGGCAAAATTGTCATAAGTTGAATTGGATAGGAGAAAGTCATCTACTGAATAAAAAATTACTATTTATGTGAAGGAGCGACCATTTCACCCTTTTGATTAGAGTAAATGACTGCTTTACCCTTATGTTTAAAAGTCATGCCGAATAAGAAACGATTAATTATGTGTGAAATTTACAATTTAACTCTTCTGAGAGTACCTGTATGCCTTAATATGCAACCCAATTCTTCATTACATATGAATGAACCGAGATGATAGCCACCAAACGGAGTTCAAGCTATCATTTGTCACATAAAAACAGTCAACAGATTATATTTAATTTAGATTAAATATGTTTAATAAAGAAAACTAATATTATCAATATTAGGCAAATCATTGTCCTTATCATATATGAAACTATGGCTAATAAACCTACACTTGGTTATATAGTAACTGGTATTTATGATATACAGTTATATGTTCACCCAACACCGAACATATCACCTGTTTGGTTGCTTCTACGAAATTCTGAAAATGGGTAATTGTTAAAATGAGGAAATTTAATAAAAAGATTGCTTGATTTGTTAATCTTTATCCGTTCCTTGATAAAAAGTCACCAAGTTTTATAGAGTCTTGGCTAAAGAAACCAGAGATAGCACCAGTTCCATAATGAATTGTAGCAGCTACCTGGAACCAAAACTAAGATTTTTTAACAAAGTCTCCAAATAGACATATACCATGAAACTTTGTTGCATCTATGAAATCCTGAAAATAATGAAGACCGCCCTTTTAGTTAAAGAAAAAAGTAAAAAACACTTAAAAACATGATCGATACAAAAAATTAGTACCTCATGTTCTCAACATACCAACTTATATCTAATAAGGTTAAATCATGAAATTAGAATAGAATGAACAACAAATTTTATGACAATGGTCATTTAGAAATCATTATTATAGGAAACAACTGCAAAATTTATTTTTACAAACTTCAACCTTTGGCGAAGGAAGTGGCTGGAAATTTCAGAAAAGCAACCTGAAGTAAACATCAAAAAGTTGTAAACATCAAACCATTCTAAGGAAACAGCCTAACCCCCAATGATAAGTTGGTATTTTTTTTAATTGAAACCGTTGATTTGGGAAATTGAAAAAATGAGGGATAGTAGGTGAAATCATGAAAGCTTATAAACAAACCAGAAACACAACGTATGAATCAACCATGAATAATATACCATACTCTGACTTAGGCAAAAGAAGTAGTTGAAAGTTGTCAATTCTCCAGATTTCGACTCGTGCATGAGCTGTTAAGTGAAAAAACAACAACATATGCAAATGAGTATGCTAAAAGAAATCGATGTTGGGTATTAACAACAGATACAGAAAGAGTACCCTCATTTGGATCTTCTCTCATAAACTCCAAGAACTCTTGGGTCTATTATGTAGCAATATGTAAGCACCGGATGGATATATTCTTCCAAATTAGTTGACTGCTCACCAATACTTTTATATTTACCAGTCGTTTGTACATGTGGTTCTAAGGACGACTGTTTTCTGAACGTAAAGTCTCTATTTCCTGTGATGAAGTGGTAAAAATATTAAAATAAATACATATACTTGAGAAAGGTGAAGGAAAGAAACCATCGGTTTTTGTGATGTATGTTTCGTTTGGGTAATTCATCGAACACTTGGCATAAATTTTCAAATAACTATAAAGTTACAACCTTAGTGGATGGTTTTTTGAGCCCAAATTTTGGATGTGGAGCTGATGTTTGGTGGATGGTTTTTCAGACCATCTGCCTTCGGCAACTTCCCAAGCCAATCTGTAGCTAGAGACCTCCTCCAAGCTACGAAAAAACTATAAAAACCATAAGTTAATGGAACATTCGATTGCTATGATAGAACAAAACTGATATTATAAAATTTAAATTCTTATATATACCTGCTTGTTGGGCTTTTCTTGAAGCCAAATTATAGGCGTGCCCTGTTCTGGATGCAATCACCTCCATCATCTTTAACTATGTCAAATTAATCTCTTAATCTTTCATTTAAGGAAACCGATTCAGTTTCCAACCAAAATCCGATCCGGGTCTTGTTGACATTTTCAGAATAATCCATATAATGATGTTTAAAGAGTTAAAAAAAATTTACTTGTCAATTCTCATGGACTTACTACATTTACATTACAGGTGGTACGATACTTTTGGGAGCACAATGACACAAGGGGTGCTATAGATGCCTTGAGGAAATTGCCGGTTCATGCTATGAGTATTCATGTTTTATTACTAAAATTAATCCATTAACCTTGAATTTTGTAAAAATTGATTGGTTTTTGTATCAGGTTCAAGCAGATGTGAACAAATCTTACCGGTGGATGCCACACTGGGAACAATAGCTTGGTCTCATGTACCATTTGATAAAAGCATCTGAATTTCAGGAAAAGTAACTAATCGGGGATCAATCAAGATATGAAACGGTGATTTCAATAGCAAAAATAAACATTTAAGTCAACTTTCATGTTAAAATTTACCAATCAAGTGCAGAAATTAAACCGCCTGACTGTGACTAATGTAACAATCCCTGCCAAAAATTAAGTTTCCCATTTGCGTGTTGGAGAATTACTCAATTAGAGCATCATGGAGTAAACGAAATCTGTCACACAGAAACATATAAGAGGAATAAAAAGTGATAGATAAATAAAATAAACCAAATCAGTTGAAGCTTATTATCTGAAAACGGCACCTGTATTAGCAGTCAGATGCCAAAATCGGGAAAATACATGGTTCAGTCGGTGTATGAATTGGTCGCTATTCCTGCATTCCGGTGACGCCGTCACTTACTACTAGCAGCAGCGCCGCATCTGCTGTCATCATCATCTTTCTCGTCTGGAATAAAGAAAAGGAAATAGTCGGTGGATTATTTTGCAAGTAAGAAAAAGGAACGACTGGAAGGGGCTTACATACATGGAAGGCTTCCTGATGAAATTGGAAGAATAGTAATCTGTGGGAAACACAAGCAAATGAGCTACACCTGGTCTTCAGAATCACAAGTTGAATATAAATTACCCCCAAGTCAAAATTGGAATATTAGTGTCTAACTCACAAAAAGACTTGCAAGATCAGGATAGGGAAGAGAGAATCAATGAACCTGTTCGTTGGCGTTGCGATTGCATGGGAGATTGGTGAGGACGGCGACAACAACGGTGATGGCGGTGGTGTACAACGCCGTCATGCTTCACTAATCGAATTTTGATGGAACCAACCCGGTACAAATTGATTTTTGGGTGAAGAAGACGAACAGGGATTAGAGGGAGAAAGCTAGAAGGAGACGGAGAATTGGTCCAAAGAACAAAGATCAAAAGACGAGTTAGAACGACAGTCTGAGCGGAGGAAGAGAGATGAGGCGGTGGGATCTGGAAGAGGAAGAAAGAATAAAGAAGAAAGAAAGAAAGAAATAAGCAAAAGCTAAAGGAATTCTACTGGACAAGGAGGGCGACATAGAAGAATAATGATTGTGGTTTGTGGCAAATGTTTAAAACCGACATAAATATGTGGCAGAAATCTAATTTCCAAAAGTTTTCTGTTCATGACCCTTTTAAGGATTAATAGTATATATAATTTGTTATTTGTGATTAGTAGATTAATAGTTCTTAATATTAATTCTTTATTTATTTGCAATTGTTATTCGCAGTTGGTTATCCGATCCGATCTGTTAGTACTATTTTGTTAACTCTTTCATTCATATCGATTTTACTTAAATAGTGAACCAAGTGGTTTTCTGTTTTACACTCGCCACTATATATATATATATATATATATATATATATATATATATATATATATATATATATATATATATATATATATATATTATTGACATCAACCAATGGCTATGGTAGAAGGTAAATAACTCAATTTGGTAAAACATTCGGTAAAATTAGGAATTTATGGACTCTTACGAACACAGATAGCTCCCATATAAAAATTAGAAAGGTAGAATAATAGTTCAATAAGATCCGGGGATGAGTTTTCGTTGTGTAGAAAACGAGGATGAATATGATTTGAACGCTTCAATAAGAGCTTCAAGGTCAACTCTAATATATTTCAACTCAGATCTAGGAAATTCAATTCCATATTTAGTAACTTCACCTACACCTCCGTCTAAGAAAATTTATCCCTAGTAATTTCATCCTTCAAACTCAAATATTTCTTTTCTGCGTCTCTCAGTTTAAGATATTTAACTATTCATCCAATCTTTAAACCACAAGGCAACAACTGAAAATTAGATAAGAAGGACCTTGGAAATTTTCCGAAATAAGTCATGAAAATAGGAAGGAACAAGAGAGAGACCAAAGCTAGCGAGAGAAAGTAGAGAGAGCAAAATTCATAAGTTTTTCTTATCTTGTGGTTTCCGGCGGGGGTCTGGTGGTTTATGACGGTTGTCCGGTGCTTCTATACGGCAATGCATAAAGGTCGATTTAACTCTAAGAGGAGAAACATAATGAGATAATATGGTGGATGGGTAATTTTTATTCGGATAACCAAACAAAAAGAGTAAATTACACGAATGGTCCCTATGGTTTGTGGTAATTTGTGCGCATTGTCTCTAGTTTATTTTTTTAACTCAGAAGTTCCCTACTAATTGGTTTTATTATGCGCTTGTTCCCTACAGTTTGTTTTTGTTACGCGTTTGGACCTTGTTTTACTTAAAAAGACAATATTTTAAATAATGAAAAATGATGGGGTATGTAAGGTATGGTGAAAGAGGTAGGGTTGGAGGTGTGTTTATTTAAATAAATTAAAAATTCAATGCCAAAATAGTATTTTTTTTTAAATAATATAAGGACCAATCATGTAACAAAACCAAAATAGTACGGACCTTCTGAGTTAAAAAAATTAGTTATGAACCAAATGCGCAAATTACCCTAAAGCACAGGAACCATTCGTGTAGTTTACTCAAACAAATATTGAATAAATAAATAATTTTATTTTAATTTCAAGCAAATTAAAGTAGTGGTACAGATTTGTTCTCAGTTGTTCTCAAACTGATATATATATATATATATATATATATATATATATATATATATATATATATATATATATATATATATATATATATATATATATATATATATATACTCTAATAATTGAATAAGTTTGTTCTCATATTAACAAGTGTCATACTATTAGAACTTCTCATTAATGTTATATAGTACGCTACTTGTCAACCTATTATTTATCAATTTCAAATTTCAAATTTCAAATTTCTCACTCTAATTACATTAAATTAATAATTTATTCTCCATTTTTAATTTTAAATTTTAAAATTTTCATCCTAATTATATTAAATTAATAACATTAGATTAAAAATATAACAAAATTAGTATAGATTATAAGGTGATATGACTTAAAGTATTTATTTTAATTAATGATTATAATTTTATATAACTAAAAAATATCTCTTCAGTAATAATTTATTTAAAATGTTTCATTAATAATTTTGTTATTTTAATATGAAAGTTTAATCAAATTTATAAATGTGGTTCTCACGGGTTATATATATATATATATATATATATATATATATATATATATATATATATATATATTTGTGTGTGTGTGTGTGTGCGCTTAGGTTATTTTGTTTTTACTAACTATTGTGTGTCAGAATGAATAGATCTAGACCACCGGATGGAATATAACCACACAAATTTCAGCATAAAGACATTTTAGTCAATTAACCTATATTAAAAAAATGAAATTTTCACATTTTTAGGGATAATTAATTTATTTATTTTTAGAAATCTGAATATTTTAAATTAATTTAAATTAAAAAAAAAAAAAAAACTGATTTTATTCTGTCAGAATTACAGACTGCCAACCATAAGCTAGTAAATATATTTTCGCTTTAATTCTTCCAGAATATATTTCCAATGCAGATATTTTTGATAATTAACTTGATTTAAGAACTCTAGATTATTATTCATATGGATCCAAGTTGGATAGATTTTATTCTTAATACACATTCGAAATAAAATATAAATTCATACATATTCTTATAGACTAACATCCTTATATATTTTAATATATTTATACATATTCTAACTGAATATCCTCAAATATGAATAAAATTTTTTAAAAAATAGCATTCTTGAATATACAACTATTAAACAAATATACTTGATTTTTTCAGTGGTCCTTATAATCCACCTGATCTTCACATATATATATATATATATATATATATATATATATATATATATATATATATATATATATATATATATATACTTGTTGTTGAACTCGATTCCAAATATTTCTCTTGTATGATAAATATTTAATTCGATCTCCACATAATTCTGAAAGCACAAGATACATTACTCATTAGTATTACCAGCTAAACAAATATACTTGCTATTAACAAACATTCTCAAAGATATTCTAGTAGAATGCGTATATATAAATAAATTCTAACATAATACATTACTAAATACATTTAAATCATAGTCTTTTCTTTTATATGCATAAACATTCTAAAAGCATGTATAAATGTATTATGTCAGAATTACTCGCAACACGTGTTTTATGTAATATTTATATTCTCATAGTGTCACAACTAGAAATTCTATATCTTGTAATCACTATACTCAATTAAATGTTGAAATCAAAAACTCAAAAACATGTATGATGTTTACTCAATGGGAAGCTAAACCCCAATTCACTACATCAAACAATTGGAAAACCCTAGAAGTTCTTGTTAAGTCTATTTTGGACTAGAACTTCCTTATTGGATCCAAATGGACCAATAAGCTTCCAATTGGACTATCATGGGCTTAGAACCCTAATTGGGCTCTAATTGGACCCACATCTATTTATTTCAACATTGTGAGCCATGTTGGACCTAGAATGGAATAAATACAAAATTTTGAACCATGAGTAACTTAAACTAGCTCAACAAAGTGTAAAAATCATACTATACTTCTTTTGGGACAAAAAACCATTCAACTTAACATCTACATGGGTTAGGACATTAAAGCCCAATTTTTTTTCCTTTCCATTTACAATTCTTGGCCCATAAGCCCAAAACCAAGAAGGAAGAGTGACTTAAGCCTTGCCACCTCACTTATATCCCACATATCTCCATGCATGGACCAACATGCAACTAGGAATGTCAACTCAACTCTCTCTCTTCTCTTCTTCTTGAACTCGGCCGAGAGCAACACCCACACACACACAAAACACTCACAAACTCTCTCTAAAATCACTCAAGGCTTCTTCTTCTTCTCCATCCAAAATCTCGAAATTTAGGAAGCATTCAAGGAAGTTCTTCCACAAAATCATCATCTAAGGTAAGGTTTTGCTTGGATCTATGACTTGTATTCCTTATTTATCAAAAATCTCTTCCTAATCCATGCAAAAATCATGATCTTGCACTCTAGAAACCCCATAAACTCGAAAATTTCATCAAGGAGTGCAAAGGCCAAAAATCACTTCATTTCTTCCATTCTTTCTTCAAAAACCGAATCAACACCCAAGGTGAGTTTCATATCCCCTTATTTTCGGTTTTTATGTGTTTTTGTGGGGGAGAATACAAGAAAAAGTGTAGATCCATCATTATGTGTATGTTGTGGTTGATTTCTATGCTTATGTGTATGTTTTGTATGATTTTGATGATAGATTTAGTATGAAATGCTAAAAACCGAGACTTATATCTTATTATGGCATAAAATATACTACTTCATTGCAAAGTATACTAAGAAAATGGCTAAATAGCTTGACAACACTTAACTTGGGCTAAAAACTCATTTTTTTGACATAAAATGTTGAAAATACAAAGTTAAAGGGCCTAAAGTGAAATATTTCGAAATCTGATGGGTAAGATGAGTCAAAACAGTTTACACAATGTATTTTCTGAAAATATACTATTAGAGGGTTAAAAACATAAATTCCAAGCTTATTGGGCTAAATATGACATTTTCGGCCCAATAAGGCCCAATATGCGAAATTTCTAAATTGGAGGACCAAAACTGCATTTTTCTGTAAAACAGTGGACTATAAGTGTTCCATATGCTTTTCAAAGGTTTAAAATGCTTTTCAAATTTAAAAGGGACCAAAGTTGTAAAAATTTTCCAAATTGGGTCAAAAATGTAAAAGTTGCGAAAAGAGGGGCTATAACCGAGAAAACTGAATTTCAAGGGCTTAAACTGTTTTCTATGATAAATATGCTGGAAAATACTTATTTCAATAATTTTTGGTATAAAAATGTCAAGAAAATTGATTTAAGGACCAAACCGGAAAGTTTTTAAATAAAGGGGTGAAAAGGGTAAATTCTACAATTAAGGAGGGGCTGAAAACAGAAAATCTTCAAGGCTAGTTAATACATGCAATTTGACCAATTGATGGTACCACGCTTGTCGACGAAATACAATATACTACAATACCAAAAGTCGTTGTTAAACGAATTGGTTCGGTCTCGAACCAATAAAAATCCAAAACCACTA